ACAATTTTATTACGTTAAAAAATGTCGAATGATTTTTTTAACAGACCTGTTTTGGACTCGAATCCGTGAGATTAGTTGAATCTGGATCTAGGTCTCGATTTTCTAAACCCGCAGATCTAGGGCGGGTCTGGATCAAAGATGTGAAAATGGATATGGATGTGGGTCTAGCTGGATTCGGTCCAAATCCGACTAGTTGCCAAGCCTACAATTAATCCTTTTCTTCATCTTTGTTTTATAGACCGCCAACATCAGTTTTATTTCTTTACATTTATGAAACATTTTTCTCTACCTTTTGACACATTTTCTGTCTTTTTTATTGATTGTTTGATAGTTTCTTTTCATTTATATTTTTCACAGGGTTGGATTAGAAATTACCTCGACTAATAAAGAGGTGCTTATTTGTTATCTTGTTGATATTTCATGCTTTGGACCCTCGATTTGAATTTGGATACACGGTTTGCGGTTGTGGATATTTTTATCACGTCTTTCGGCACTGATTTTTAATTTGTCAATGGTCTTCAGTAGTTTGGCCCCCTTTTGTGATTCATTTATCAATGCAACCATCTTTATTTGTATCTATCTTTTGTTCAAGTTTTTGGTTGGGTTTTTAATATTTTCCTTGCATGATCTTTCTAATATATCAAATGATTAATTTTTTGTGTCAATGATTATAAAAATTATTATTATACCATACTATATCAATATCTCCGTTAAGTTAATGGTCAAACTTAAATGGATATCAAGATAGAAATAAAACGTAACTTTTGCGAAAAGGAAAAGTTAAGTGACAAAAACAAAAGGTTAGAAATAGATTGAATGCCAAATAAAGAGTTTCCCCAAATTAATATTGTTGCAGTTCTAACATAATGGTCCCACAATCAAAAGCCTGATCCAATCATATCTCATTTGAACGGCAACGCCCAGCCTTTCAGATACCAAATTAATGCCACTCCAACATATTGATACGTCTCTGCTTCTGTTTGCTTTAGTTTTGAAGGCCATATTTTCAGATTTTATAATTTTAAATTAAAATTATTTCAGGTTCAGATTTCGTTTTTTGATTCAAGGAGAGTGAGTTTTTGTTGATTTTTTTATTATCAAATTAATTAATTAAAATATTTTTTAGGTTAAGGGTTAGATCTGCATATTCCCCATACCATGGCCACGCTCATATAAATATATATAATAAATTAATGTAAAGAAAATTTGTTGGTAACTAACAATAACTAGTTTGTTTTGCTTTTATTACATTTTCCTTGGGAAAAAAGTTATTTAAGGAATGTCACTACGGAACAACCTTTTGTGTTGTCTGCAAATGCAACTTGCAAGGAAATTGAATTTAGCTCATTTATGCAATTTTCTTTATTTAGTTAGAATGGATAGATTTTGGATCCCAACATATATAAATTTTACAAAACTAGAAAACTTGGGGATTTCTCTTGAATCACTTTAAAAAATAAAAGTTATATGTAATAAGAAAACAAATAAGATTAAGATTTTATCCGGAGGATGGACCTATTGAGTGGCCTCAATGGTTAAATGGAGTGTTGTTTTGTCTTGAGGTTTCAGATTCAAACAAATGTATCTGCATAATGTGTGTTGTCAATAATTAAGAAATTTTATGAATATATATTACATTATAATCTTCTCGTACTATAAAAAATTATATAGAAAATTTAAAAAATTATTAATCAAATTGTTAAATTTAATAACCACTTTCAAACTTTATAGCTTAATCATTTGACTAATAGTTTTTCCATCTTTATTGTTTTTCATCCTTTATATAGTGAAGAGTTTTTATTTGGTTTACATATAAAACAACCCTCTAATTGTACAAGCTTCTAATTTGAATATTGATTAAACTGATCATTATTTAAAAATTAACGATGAAATAAGTCCTTAAAATTATTTTAAACATTGCTTAAAAATGAATCACTTGATCCATAATTTTTATAAAAAAAATCACTTAATTATGATTTTATATGAAAAACCCATTTGATTCATGGTTTAACATAAAAATTTCATTTTTATTAGTCTAAGATGATTATAATATAAGATTTGTTTAAAAGATTTTTAACTGTTTGAAAATCAAACAACTTTGTAAATACTATGTTCGAACCTAAAATATCTTAAGATAATAATCATTCTTTAATTACCGAAGTGATTTCATCCATAAAAAAAGACTTCATTTTTAGGTACAAATAAATGAGCATGTTTTATATATAAGCCTTTTGTTTTGTAGGAGTATTATTTACTTGTCTCATTGACAGCTGTCAAATATGTTGTGTTGGGACCTCCTTCGTTGTCTGGACCTTAAGCTTTCGAAACTTGTTTTTACGGGGAACAAAGTTGGACCGGGGGATAGTAAAATTGTGTAATGACAAAGTTATTTTCCTGACTAGACCCCAATTTGAACTCTGATTTAGAACTAATTGGAAGAACGGTGGGCAGGTTGCTGATTGGTATTATGTCTTTTCATGAGCGGTAGTTAATCCGATAAAGGAATAAAATGATTTCTTAAATGTAATTATGGAATATAATTATTATTCAAACTAATGGGTCCCGACCCAATTTCTTAATTCATACTACAACTATTATCTCTTCTCTCAACAACCCTGTCATATAATAGTGATAAATTAAGATTATAATAGTTTCTTATCAAATATGTTTGATAAAATCAAAGGAAAGTGGGAGGAGGCAAATATTTTATGTTAAAAATTATGAAAATTTAATTTATCAAGAAGTATTGATGAAGCGATTACCCATAATTTTATATAAATTCATTAGTCTCATTTTTATTTATTTAATCACTGTATCCGATCTATTGATCTACTAATCCATATCAGGTATTACAGAAGCGATGGCAACCCTTCAAACCCAGTTTGCTCTATTTACAAACGCCATAATTCGAACCCTTGATCTTATTTAAAGGATCTAGTGTCTCGGCCCACCATACCAACTAGTTGTTGGTATTAGTCTCGTTTTTAATCATTAAAAATGAGTTTTTAATTTTTTATTATTGAAAATTATATAAAATTCTGGGAAAACAATTATAAATAAAAATAAAGATATTTTAAACTTAATTTTTAATTGTGTTAGAACGTGATTGATATGTGGTCCTAAACTTTAAAAAATTCATTATAAATAATATACATAAAAACAAATAATTTAATTATATAAACTTAATTTTAAAGTAAAGATGAAGGCACGATTCGATAAATCTCAGTGGTAAAGGAATTGTTATTTTTTAAGGTCTCAGATTCAGGACATAAAATGTTAGGGGTGTGAGTGTTTAATGTCAAATGTTTGAGAGTTATTTTTGAACATATACCTCCTTATATTTACCTCATATTAATAAAAAAAATAATAAAGATAAAGAATACGCACATTTGAGTATCTGACATTATAATAGACTAACACCAAGACAAATGCATGAATTTTATTTGGACCTTACACTAAGACCTGATTCATGTTAATTTGACTTCATCATTTATTGGTCATATTTTTAAATTATCTAAAACCCTCAAACTCCAATCTGAATGGGGAAATTTAAATTAATTATAGGATAAATAATAAATTTTTTATTATCATTAATTTAAATAATTTAATCAAGTGATAAAGGGAATAAATTAAATTAAATGAATAGATTTAATAAGAAGTGAATTTAGTGGAATGAGATATTAAGTTATTTCGTTATAAATTTAAATTTTGATGTTGTGAGTGGAATATATTAAATAAAGAAGTGTTTTATTATCGATTTATGTAATACCAAATCTGAATAATTTTAATAATAAATTAGATATGAGTGGTTAAAAACAAAAAAGAAAACCAAAACAATAGGGGTGTATTCGGTTCGGTTCGATTCGGTTTTTTACCAAAAATTAAACCGAACCGAAATAAACGGGTTTTCAATATTTAAACCGAAATCGAAATTAAATAGTTAAAAAATCGAAAAAACTGAAACCGGTTTTTTTGGTTCGGTTCGGTTTTTTAAACGGTTTGGGTTTTTCGATTCGGTTCGGTTCGGTTTATCGGTTTTTCAATAAAAAAAATCACTTGAAACTATAATTTTTTTTACAAAAATTGTCTCTTCGGTTTAATATGGAACAAATGGGTTCCATATGGAAAACCCGAATCGAACCGAATCAAAAAAATGAAACCTTTAAATTGAACCGAAAACCAAACCGTTTAAAGTCAAACCGAACCAAACCAAACTATTTTACTCGATTTATGTCGATTTTTCGATTTTCTCGATTTCGTTGCTTAGCAATGGATTCATTTGAAAAACGGTTAACGTGACTGATAAGTACAGAAATATTCTCTAGTCTGTGACCACTTACTCTTCGTTTTAACGTCACGTCTAACAATCTATAGGTTTCCCCCTTTGTCTTCTTTTTCGTTTTCTTTTTCAAAGCTTTACCTTATGATTTTAATGGCTAACAAAGGATAGCATATAGTTATTATTTTTGGGTAAACGATACGTTTAGTACATTATTTTTATTCTATTTTTGATATCTAAATTTTATTTTTATTCAAAATCATACTGACGTTTATTTTAAGTTTTGATTTAGTACCATAATTAAAAATTTAACAGAACTACTGAAGTGATAATTTTTTTTATTTTTTCAAAAATGACGTAACATTATATTATAGTGATATCTCAACATCACCGTTAAGTTTTTAACGATAAATACTAAATTGAAACCTAAAGTAAACTTTAGATATAGTTTTGTAAAGAACAAAGATTAGATATTAAAATGAAATAAAAGTATTAATTTAGATATTAAACGTATAATTTATCCTTAACTTTTTTTCACTCATTTAGTAGTCTACTGTGTTAACTACAATATTCCAAAAACAACGTGTTCATTTCAACTTGCTTTCTCATCCAGTGCACACAGTTGCTTTTTCAATGTTTAGCTTTAGGCTCCATCCATCCATGGACGTGGAATTCCAATCATGAACCCCCTATATATACAGCTTCAATCCACTGCCTTCAACCCCACATCAAAAACCCCTCTCCAAAATGGCTAAACCATCATTATTCGTATCTCTTCTTCTTTTGGTTTCTGTTTCATTGGTGGAATCTCGTCCGCCATTTGCATGCGATCCCCAGAACGGGTTGACCAGGAGTCTGAAATTCTGTAGGCTGAATCTGCCGATTCATGTGAGGGTGAGGGACTTGATTGGCAGGTTGACGTTGCCTGAGAAGATTAGGTTGTTGGTTAACAATGCTATAGCCGTGCCCAGGCTGGGGATTCAGGGCTACGAGTGGTGGTCCGAGGCTCTTCACGGCGTCTCCAATGTCGGTCCCGGAACTAAGTTCGGTGGCGCTTTCCCTGGCGCCACCAGCTTCCCTCAGGTCATCACAACCGCTGCTTCCTTCAATGAATCTCTATGGGAACAAATTGGACGGGTAAGACTCCAGATTATATTTAATTTACTAATCAATACGAAAATTTTATGATATATATATATATATATATGTATACTTGATGATTTGAAGATAATAGTCAAATGCTTATACCATTCCCTAAATCCATAATGGTTGATAATTGAATTGGTTATTTGTCATTTTCATCATTCTAAAATAATTGCTAAAAAAATTCGCTCTAATATAATTCGGGGTGAGTGTTTGATTGAGGCGAGTAATTTTTTAATTATTCAATTTGACAAGTCTTATTTTAAAATTCATACTTTATTTGGATTTTTTTTGAGTCTAGTTGAGTCGAGTCAATTCAAGTTATTCGAGTTTCTTTTTAAATTTAATAAATATTTATAATATTATGCTACTATTTGATTTCAATTTAAATGGTTTTCTATAAACATATACAATACATATATATTTCTTCACATGTGATATACATATATTATACAAAGTTATGAAACTAGACTCAAACTTGAAAATCAATCATTTAATTACTAAAAATTTTGAGTTATTTAAGTTCTATTTTATAATTCGATTCGAACTTAAATTTTTTTCGAGTCGAAACAATTCAAGTCAATTTTTTAAGTCGAGTAAAAGGGATCAATTTTTTATTCAGATCGAGTTTTACTCCACCCTAAATATAAGCATCGAAATAGAGAGAATAAAAGAAAAAATTATGGTGACATATTGTTAATGTGATTATTATTTGTATGCTGGTTTCATAGCTCCTAAATCAACCCAAGCCTTGCATGGGAGCCACTTTTGGGATTTTCTAGGTCTACACTCGTATATAATTAGTTACCGCCTATGTCTCTGTTATAGGCATTGCCTAATTACAATGGGCCACTTAGTTAAAATCTTAATTTATTTGCACATAAATTTGGAGAGTTGGGTAAAGGCTCAACTATAGGCTATTAATAAACCTCGCATCACTTTCATTTTATCATCTAAAAACAAAGTATTTCAAACGTGTAAACTCTACTTAAGAAGAAATAATTGCCCCCATCTTTTCTTTTTCCCCAATAACAGGTTTACTTAGATTATTGCCTAATTGCTTTATTAGTTAGATAAGTATAATATAAATATATTCCAATTATGTATTTAAATATATATAGTATTCATTCAACATACCATGTATTTTTCTAAAAAAATCGAATCTTTTTAACTTTTGCCACTTGGAATTTCCATATAAGACAGGGCGATCTTCAATGTTCTTTTGTCTCGGTTTGTCTTTATTAATGATGCTGAAAACTCCGTCCTCATCACTGTTTCTTATGGAACATAAGAAATTAACCTTAACAGTTGGTGATTAGCTTATTGGGACCAATCTGCAATAGGAATTAATTTATCAACAAGTTTTGGATGCAATGGATCACAGGTGGTATCGGATGAAGCTAGAGCAATGTACAACGGAGGAATGGCCGGTTTGACGTACTGGAGCCCCAATGTTAACATATTCCGAGACCCGCGGTGGGGCCGAGGCCAAGAGACTCCTGGCGAAGACCCTGTTTTAGCCGGCAAATACGCCACCAGATATGTCCGTGGCCTCCAAAGTCCAATGGGGATCCGCCTCAAAGTCGCCGCCTGCTGCAAACACTACACCGCATATGACCTTGATAATTGGAAGGGTGTGGACCGGTTCCATTTCAATGCTAGGGTAAGCAAACCCTCCAAGGCAATTAATTGCTGCAGGAATAGCCATTTCTATATTTGCTTTCATATAGGATTTCACTTTCGGCTTTCCTTATCCGGTTTAAGGCTGATGGGTTACTTGGAGTCCAAATAAAGGGTTTTAATTGGTAATAATGGATTTCAGGTTAGCAAGCAAGACCTGGCGGATACATATGACGTGCCGTTCAAGGCATGTGTGGTGGAAGGCAAAGTTGCAAGTGTGATGTGTTCTTATAATCAAGTCAATGGGAAGCCCGCTTGTGCTGACCCTGATCTACTTAAGGGCACCATCCGAGGTCAATGGGGCCTTGCTGGGTATATTGTATCGGATTGTGATTCGGTTGGTGTCATGTATGACACTCAGCATTACACGGATACCCCAGAAGAGTCTGCTGCAGATGCCATTAAAGCAGGTCGGTTCCAAACTTGCATTGTTTGAGGGTGATGCATAATGTTGAAATTTCAGAATGGATTTTGATTCAATGATTGTTGCTTGGCGATTTGATTCTACAGGTTTGGATTTGGATTGCGGACCATTTTTGGCAATCCACACTGACATGGCAGTGAGGAGGGGCTTGATATCTGAGAATGATGTCGACTTAGCTCTGGCCAACACCATTACGGTCCAAATGAGGCTCGGCATGTTCGACGGTGAGCCATCAGCCCAGCCTTATGGGAACCTCGGCCCGAGAGATGTGTGTACCTCGGCTCATCAACAACTTGCTCTTGAGGCTGCCAGACAAGGCATAGTTTTGCTAAAGAATTCTAGGTCTCTGCCATTGTCCACTACACGTCATCGCACTGTTGCAGTAATTGGACCCAACTCTGATGCCACAGTAACGATGATAGGAAATTATGCAGGTAACAACAATTCATTGTTCTAGTAGTTAATTCTACATTCCTCAAGCCAAGTTCATGAATCATGATGACTCCTTTGTTTCTTTGATGCAGGGGTGGCATGCCGTTACACGAGTCCATTGCAAGGTATTGCAAGGTATGCAAGGACTGTTCATCAAGAAGGGTGTTCAGGTGTAGCTTGCGTTTCAAGCAATCTGTTTGAAAGAGCAGAGGTAGCAGCTCGCCATGCGGATGCAACCGTGCTTGTAATGGGGCTTGACCAATCTATAGAAGCAGAATTCAGGGATAGGGTAGGGTTGCTCTTGCCTGGACTCCAGCAAGAGCTCGTTTCCCGCGTGGCTCGAGCCTCTAGAGGCCCAACCGTGCTGGTCTTAATGTCAGGTGGTCCTATTGATGTCACATTCGCTAAGAATGATCCTCGAATTAGTGCTATTATATGGGCAGGGTACCCAGGCCAAGCTGGAGGAACCGCAATTGCAGATGTTTTATTCGGAACAACCAATCCAGGTAACCTTTCACTTTCAGGACATTTTAATGTCGAATTTCCCACTTGCGAAGCTAATTTTGATACGAACAACAGGAGGAAAGTTGCCAATGACATGGTATCCACAAGATTATGTAGCTAAAGTCCCAATGACAAACATGGGGATGAGGCCATCAAGAGGCTACCCTGGAAGAACCTACAGATTCTACAAAGGTCCAGTTGTGTTCCCCTTTGGTCATGGCTTGAGTTATACAACTTTTAAACACTCTTTAGCCTTAGCTCCAACTGATCTCTCTGTACTTCTTGACACCAACCTGTTTGCCACCAAAAACTACTCATTCTCAAGTAATGCCATAAAGGTGAAACATGCCAAATGCGACTCACCGTCGTCGCTTTTTCACATCGACGTTGAGAACACTGGCAATATGGACGGAACTCATACCTTGCTTGTCTTCTCTACACCCCCTGCCGGACAAAAATGGTCTCCGGACAAGCAATTGATAGGTTTTCGTAGAGTTCACGTTGTCGCCGGGTCTAAGCAACGAGTTAAGATCAATGTTCATCCCTGCAATCACCTTAGCGTTGTGGATGAATCCGGAATTCGAAGAATTCCGATGGGCTCACATAGTTTACACATTGGTGATCTCAAGCATTCTATTTCTGTCCGAGCAAATTTGGAGGGCATTATGGCCTAAACTCTAAAAGAGTAAAGGAAACTATATAGAAACCCATACTTGAGATAATTTCCACTGCACTTCCAAAAGGGAAGAAAGTGGTTATACTTTCTTTAATAGCGTTTGGATTTTAATAATTGTAAAATAGGGATATTGAGTTACCAATCTATTTTGTTTGTAAAAACAAAATTGATTGAAAATTTGAAACAGATTTGGTTGATGAATAATAGGAACTTGTAAATTAGGGTTTGGATTCAAAACTCTGATGATCTGAAGAAATACATGAATTTATGATATTATATTATTTGCCAATGTCGAGCTTGTTGATGTATTTTAATTTTGAAATTTTATATTTTTTTCCGAGTAAAAACAAAGAGTTAATTGCATCATATGCTCCCAATCTATAACCTTCATTTCAAGTTGGTCCTTAAACTTTTGAATATTCTAATTTAATCCCCAAATTATGTCTCTTATTCTAAATTAGTCCTTGAACTTTTGAGCATTCTAATTTCATCCCTAAACTATAATCCTCTTTCTAAATCATTCCCCAAACTTTTGAGTATTCTAATTTCATCCCCAAGTTCATCCAAATATGCAATTAGTTTTGACCATAGTTTAACTTAAATTTTATTTTTTTGAAACATATAATAATATAACTTGGAATGTTCAAAAAGTTTGGGGACCAATTTAGAATGCATGCCATAGTTTGGGGATGAAATTGAAATGTTTAAAAGTTTAAGGACTAGTTTAGAATGATAATCATAGTTCATGGATGAAATTAAAACATTTAAAAGTTTAGAAGTCAATTTAAAAGTCATACTTTGAGGACACGTGATGCGATAAGGCTTATAATTTATACATAAGTACCTAAAGTATACTATATTTTCATCTTAGGAACCTAAAGTATTTTTGTTGTTGAAAATAAATACCTAAACTTATCTTTTTGGTCAAAATAGATACTTAAAGTATTCAAAATTTTCATCTAAGTTCTAAAAAGTCGACATGTGATGTTAATTAAAGAATATTTTAGGTACCCATATGTAAAAATTGAATGCTTTAGATACCTATTTTGATAAAAAAATACTTTAAATACTTATTTTGACAAAAAAATAAATTTATATACTTATTTTAACAAAAATGTACTTTAAGTAGTTAAATGAAAATGTTATATTATCATTTATTCGATGTAGGGGTGTTCAAATAACCGCACTAATTCGGTTAATCGATCGAACTGAATTAGTTCGGTTAATTCGGTTCGGATACCCAATTAGTTCGGTCGGTTAACGGTTAAGAAAAATTTTAGAATTCGGTTAACGGTTAATTCGGTTCAATTTCTGTTAATTAACCGAAATTAAATTTTAAATATTAAATATCTTATATATAACATATGGGCTCAACCCAAACCATTTAAAACACAATTAATAATTTAAGACCCAATAACTTTTAAACCTAAATCAATATTAATTAATTAAAAAATTATATAAATTTTTTATTTTATAATTATATATTATTTAAATTAATTGTAAACTGTTTTTTTAATTAAAAAATATTAAATATATTATGTATACATATGGGCTAAACCCAAACCATTTAAAATCCAATTAATAATTTAAGATCTAATAACGTTTAAACCTAAATCAATATTAATTAATTAAAAAATTTATCTGAAATTTTTATTTTATAATTATATATTATTTAAATTAATTATAAACATTTTTTTGAATTAAAAACATTTAATTTTTATATAAATTAGAAATTAAAAAAAAAATCGGTTAATTCGAAAATTAACCAAAATTTATTCGGTTCGGTTAATATGTCCGAAAAAAATTCGGTTCGGTTAACGGTTAAAGAAAAAAATCGATTAATTCGATTATGGTTAATTCGGTTCGATTCGATTCGGTTTTAACCGAATGAACAATCCTAATTCGATGGATATATAAAAACATTCGTATTGTAAAATTTGTCGTACTTATTTTATTGATTTGAAGTAGCCTTCCAATTAAAAGGGGGGGGGGGTGAGGCGGAGCAGATAATGTAGTTGGATGGTTCCAGGGTTTTAGAAAGTGCATTATAGACTGGGGGCTTTCTGAATTATGTTAATTCACATGGGAAAAGGTAGAGGTATTGCTGACTTTGCATGTGGCCAAAGAGCAATTTTGGGACTCCAATTAAGGATGCAAAACTTTGCATTGCTTTCTTACGTCCAAATGAGTCTTCTATGCGAAATCGGATCTTAATAAGCTTTTGGCACATTTATTTATTAGCACCAAAGATCTAAAGTGTTTTTTTTATGAGAAACTGGAATTGTAGTACGAGATTTTTTAATACATACGGTTGTAAACGAAAGCGAACCAATCACATCACTCTTTCAATTTATAATTGATCATTATCATTCCGACATTCGGGATATGTGTGTTGTACTTCTGCTAGACATTCTTCCCACCTCATAGTTTCCGGAAAAGGGATTTCTCTGTAAATAGGATCCCTGAAGAGTTCTTTTGAAGAAAGAATACGAGAACTACGAAAGTTCTTGAATATCAATCATCTATCGAGAAATCGTTATGACATTATCTTTGATAGACTTACATGACCTATTAGAGTTAAATTCATCATCACATGATCGTGGCTTCATAGCATGCTCGTTAGTGAGCAATCATGATTACTCTATGACTAACACCTATACTAAGGGTCACTATAAAACTTCTCGAACAAGATCGAGAAATGAATAGAACCACCTTATCCTCACTTATTTCTCTGCTTCCTCATCATAGAAACAAAGAACATTGACACCGACCAATGAATTGTCTCTTACCGGTTATGTCCCTCTACCCAAACTATAAAGGGTGAATCGCATATAGCTGCCACAATCCATTTGTTCCTATCAACAAATGGTGTGATGAACACATAAAATCTCCTATAAAAAAATCACTCAACATGCACCTCAAAATGCAAAATTGTAACATCTCCGATTAGGTGCTCCAGTGCTCCAGATTGACCTCCAGAGTTAGATGTAATTGCCTCATTGTCCTCTGGACCTCACACAACCATTGATCCGCCATTATAGGATCGTCCAAACTAGACTCGCAGAACTCTACAATTTTATATCTCTTAAGGCGTTCCACTGGCGTTTCGAATGTCGGAACCAGTTGAGGGACAACAGAAACAGGTTGGGCTCTAGGGATGACCCCCACGATCCTTCATAAGGCTGTATATAAGTTTTGGAAATACGCCGCTTCAGCTACCCGACGTCTCCCTCTAGTCTCGTTTTTTCAGAATCCAGAACGAACTCATCTTCTGAGTCATTCGAAAGACTTCTTTCAGGTTTACTAGCCATTCCTTAAATATTTCTACAAGGATAAAAATAGGAGAAAACGCCATTAAAATCTCAAACATAGAAGAGTACATCCGACTCTAGGGCTCGTATCCATGTATTTACATACAACACTGACACTGGTCTTAGGACCGACTCAACCTGAGACTCTTATACCAATAAATGTAATACCCAACCCATTACAGACATAGGGTGTAACATTATTGGAATCTCTATAACCCTCCGATAATAATTTGACATGTTACCTCAACCAGAGAGGTATAAACTGTGTATTACAATTTTAGATTTAGTAAAGCAAAATATGGAGCTTCATTTATCTTGGTAGTTGATTAGTGCTTGGAATTGATTCCTTTAAAATATTAATTCCTTCATTTTATGAACTTATCACTGCTGAATTAGGATGTTTTTGTTTATTTTTTGTGCAGTGATCAACTTATTGGAATTGACAGAAAAATGATGTATTCTGCACCTTTTTTTATTTTCTGGTCATGGCTGGAGACATGGGCACAATGCTAGGCACAACTCAGAGTTGACATGGTAGTGTCTGGAAGGCACTGGAAGATTACGGAAGCAAGTTCATTAAGAACGACTCTGGAGAGAGATTTAAGGATTTTCAATTTCTTTGAAATGAATTTAAAACATTTGAATTGAAATTATCACTTAGGATTATTTAGGATTTTTTATTTTGAATTATCTTTGTTATTTTTTTGGAATTCACGAGCCTATAAATATCCTAGCATGGGTAAGGCTTGGGAGGGGAATCAATTACTTTAGTTTTGCATTTTTTTGAAGTTTCTTTTTCTTTACTTACTTTCTTTATCTTCACATCATTTTCATTTTGCAAAATATGCTAAGTATGATCTATCATATCATGATTAGTTAATTTCTTTTAGGCCGAGAGCTAGTACAAATCAATTCCATGCGTGAGAATTGAACATCGCTTAAATCCCTCTGGGATACATTCTCGTTTTTCTGGATAAAAAGTTTAGCAATCAGCCTTACTTACAATTTTTAAACGCTTTCAAGTCAAAAAGTTGACGTTGGTCTGAACGTTGTTTAAATATATCGTTGGGAGGAAGGATCGGCCTGTGACAATTCGACTTCCTGTGAACATGCTTAGCGGCGGTCCGTTAAGGGAAAATGAGATCGGAATCGATTCTCGACGAGATAACATCCGAGTTGAGCCTTTCCAGTTCTTTTAAAATAGTTATGGTTAATTCATTTAAGAATCATCTTTCGAAGATAAACTTGGGAAGACAAGTTACAATGGGTTGGGCATTGTAGAATGTAACCGACATGTATCCCGGAGCAAAAACCCATTTCAATGATTGGTGGAATTGAGATAAGCTAGCTCGAGGTGATTTTCTTATTTGTGATTTCTACACTTATTTCCATATTACAGTAGAAACTCTTTAAATTAATACTCGGTAAATTAATAAACTCTCTAAAATAATAAATTTGTCCGGTCCCGACTTGGGCCAATGTAAAAAATTGAAAAACTCGATAAAATAATAAGATAATAATTTTTCATGAGATCCCTTTATAATTTTCGGTCCCAAGAAAATCATAAATTAATAATTCATAGAAACTGAAAAAAATATATTACACTCTATTGAAATATGATTCAATAGTTGTCTGTTTTCCTTTAAAGTTCAAGTCTATTTGGAGCTTATTATTAATTTAACTCATCTCTTGCAACATAATTCTAAGAGGCATAGACTAATTTGCCTTTTTGTTTGGTATGTACAGTATACTTACTGCTTTTATTAATAAATTAATAACTCTCTAAATTAATAAATTTCTCCGGTCCTGAAATTATTAATTTATAGAGTTTTAACTGTATTTT